AACAATTAGGCTACACATCAGAAACTGCTGCTTGGTAGCTCGATCAATTTAGTTTCAGACGTTCATCGAGTTGAGGAAACAGTCGTCGGTGAAATGTTTGGACCATACAAAACTTTGGGAAGTTGTGTCGGCGCATTTCCAGAGGCATCCGATCACTGATCGACTGCCATGCTTCGCTCGTTTGCAAGCCATGATATCTCTCGAGGAAAAACTCAAATCCTTCGTACTTCCTAGCGCATTTTCTCATTGGCGAACCAAATAGGGGATTTTCACGCTGATACGTAGGACTTCCGGATTCAGTGATCTTTGAGCACTGCTGAAGGACTACACTAAGTTTATTTATACGTCATCCCTGGTAAATTAGTCTGATTCAATAAAGGGCCGGCTGCAAACAAACGTGCTACCTTGTTTTATATTAAAGTTTTAATCCAGTTCTTCCTTATACTCAATTTCATTCGGGAATCCATAAAAACTTAAGTAGGGTTGGTGTTGTTGGTTAGATTTACAAAGTGGAACAGAGCAGTGACATAAATAGCATTCGTCTCAGGCACTCGGAAGTGGACATGCACAAAGTTGACAAATCCCGCCCATGAAACGCGGAAGTGTGATAATCCCTTATCGAGCCAAATGGCTTTATGCCCAGCTGCACTACTTCCTTAACTTCAGCCAGCTTCTTGTTTCCTGTCTGCCATTATTGGCCAAATTGATTAATTCAGGTGTGTCTGATTATTGTTGCCATGACAACTGAGGTCAGGCACACCTGGATTAATCAATTTGGCCAATAATTGCAGACAGGAAACAAGGAGCTGGCTGAAGTTCAGGAAGTAGGGCAGCTGGGCATAAAGCCCATTCTCACGCTCTCACGCCACACCCCCGGTTTCTCTCTCTTTTATGTGAATCACACATAACCATTTACATTGTAGTCTATGAGAAGATATGTGGTGAAGCTCTCTGAGAACCAGAGAGCGTGGTTTGCTCTGTAATAGGCGCTAATGTGTCACCATCAATCCAATCATATCAAGCAATTCATAAAGGTCTTTTAAAATGACAGTCTGAGAATTAGAAATGAGGAAAGCAGTTTTTGAATCTTCTCTAAATCGCCCGCGGTGTGTTAGGCTACGTTCACACTGCAGGGCTTAATGCTCAATTCCGATTTTTTGAAAAAAATCGATTTTTTTGCAAGGCCGTTCACATTTCCAATTAAATGCGACCTTTTGTGATCTCCTGTGTGAACGTGAAATGACCCAGAAGTGACCCGCATGCGCAGAAGAGTAATCAACGGTCCAAGACGTCACTTGTTGTTTGCAGAATAGTTCTTTTTTTTCATATGTTGCGAGCTTTTGTTTTATTATTATTATTGCCACACCCCATATACAAACACAGACAATAATTATTTTATCGACGGGCAGTTTGCACATAAATGTAAGATTTTTCCGATCCTCACCGACCTCGTCATAAAACCCGTTTAATTGATAGTGCGTGTCCGCTGCGCTCCTTGCTTTGTCACCGGCGGCCGCGGTGTTGCCAGATTGGGTGGTTATTCGCTATATTTTAAGGCATGTTCACATGTGTTTTAGCCAGGTTTTCGCTTGGAAGGCTCTATATTTGGCACCCTACTGTACAAAGTTATACTGACAGAGAGCGCACGTTCACATACACCAGAATGAACGTGTTCACAGTAATGTTCATCAGGCAGTAATACAGTATGTTTATTTCGGGCGAACGTGAATAATATGATACACGAAAATATGAACGCGTTCATGCACTATCGTTCATTGAACGCGTTCAGGCACAACACTGGGGAAGAGACACGTCTGCAGTGGCCCATAACAGTGAGGAAACGCGTTGGAGTTAGCGTGTATGGGCTGGCTACAGGTGCTTGCAATGACGTGCGGGTCGGATATATGTGACCTGGCCGTTCAGATTGAAGTCGCATTTCAAAAGATCGGATACATATCGGATTTAGACCACATACCCAAGTGGCCTGGGTCGCATTTGAAAAGATCGGATCTGTGTCGTTCAGACTGTCATGAAAAAATCAGATACAGGTCGCATAGGGGCAAAAAAATCGGAATTAGGTCGTTTCAGCCTGCAGTGTGAACGTAGCCTAGACTAGAGTGTGAAAAAGCAAAGCAAAACTCTCTAAAGCAAAGCCAAACAGAAAACACAGAAAATCCTGTATATTTTACAGTAATTCTTTATTCTTTGAGGTTGCAGTGGCATAGATGTGTACCAAGGGCGTGACATGAGGCTGAACCGTTACAAAGTGAGAATTCTTCATCAGTTTCCCAATCATGTTTCAGAGTTTGAGTGACGGGGGATTTATGCTTCTGGCATTTAACCATTATGATGATGTTTTGAAAAAAGCAGTTGCATTTGAGGCCTAGACAAGTTTGTATTTGCCACAAATTATGGTAAATAAGTTGATTTTGACGTGTTTTGTACATATTCCATGGCAGTACCATAGTATTCTTGGATTACAATTTGAACACCTGAGTATCAGCTAGAATTCTGATCCTCAAAGACTTGTTAGTCCATTTATTATCCTAAATTAGATACATCTGTTTGAGTTCATTAGCTGCATAAAGACACCTGTCCACCCCATTCAATCAGTAAGAATCCAACTACTAACATGGCCAAGACCAAAGAGCTGTCCAAAGACACTAGAGACAAAATTGTACACCTCCACAAGGCTGGAAAGGGCTACGAGGAAATTGCCAAGCAGCTTGGTGAAAAAAGGTCCACTGTTGGAGCAATCATTAAAAATTGAAAAGAAGCTAAACATGACTGTCAATCTCCCTCGGACTGAGGCTCCATGCAAGATCTCACCCCGTGGGTTGTCAATGATCCTAAGAAAGGTGAGAAATCAGTCCAGAACTACACGGGAAGAGCTGGTCAATGACCTGAAAAGAGCTGGGACCACCGTTTCCAAGGTTACAAGACGTCATGGTTTGAAATCATGCATGGCACGGAAGGTTCCCCTGCTTAAACCAACACATGTCAAGCCCCGTCTTAAGTTTGCCAATGACCATTTGGATGATCCAGAGGAGTCATGGGAGAAAGTCACATGGTCAGATGAGACCAAAATAGAACTTTTTGGTCATAATTCCACTAACCGTGTTTGGAGGAAGAAGAATGATGTGTACCCCATCCCAAGAACATCATCCCTACAGTGAAGCAATAGGGTGGTAGCATCATGCTTTAGGGTGTTTTTCTGCACATGGGACTGCACTGTATTAAAGAAGTAGTTCACTTTTACAAAAAACTTTTGCTGATAATTTACTCACCCCCATGTCATCCAAAATATCCATGTCTGTTTTTCTTCAGTCGAAAAGAAATTAAAGGGATAGTTCACTTTGAAATTAATTTTTGATATGTTTTAGCTTACCTAAAGGGCATCCAAGATGTAGGTGTCTTTGTTTCCACAGTATTTTCAATTTTGATATTTTTCGGTCAAACTGTTGTTGTCTGTCATATAATGCAGGTTTAGGGGGTCCACCCTCGGTTCACCTCTTAAGAGCATGCACAGAGAAGTCCAAATTAAACATGATTTAATGACTTGTAAATGTAAGTACACATTGATGGCCTAAGACACGAAACGAGCGTTTGTGTGAGAAAACGAACAGTATTTATATCATTTTTACTTCGTGTAACCACAGCCACGTCCAACTGATCTGACGGCACGGGCGCTTCGGTCTGCGCATGCGCCGGAGGTGATCGCGCGTGTACGTCACTCATTGTTTACACAGAGATTTCAGAAGTTTTACCTTTCACTAAACATATTTAGATATATCGAAATCGTCCTCCATTGCGATTTCCTGTATATCTAAATATGTTTAGATCTTCACAGTGAAAGGTAAGACACCAGACGATGAATAAGGGTCTTATCTAGGACCCTTCGAGTCATGACTCGAAAAAAGATTTGTTCATTTTGATGAACGAGTTCGAACAGGAGAGTCACGAACGTGCATAACAGAACAGAGCAAGGCGAGCATTTGTCCTTATAAAACTTAAACTTTGTTATTTATTTATTAAATGAGCAATCATTTCACTTGATAAGACCCTTATTCACTGACTGGAATCGTTTAAAGCTCTTTGAACAGTTTGCAGTTTGCACTGAAACTGTTTTTTGGACCTTGAACCGTTTGGTTACCATTGAAGTCCATTATATGGAGAAAATGCTGGAAAGTTTTCTTCAAAAACCTTTATTTCTTTTAGACTGAAGAAAGAAAGACATGGACATCTTGGATGACATGGGTTTGAGTAAATTATCGGCAAAAGTTTTTTTTAAAGTGAACTACTCCTTTAAGGAGAGGATGACCGGGGGCTTGTATTGCGAGATTTTGGGGAACAACCTCCTTCCCTCAGTTAGAGCATTGAAAATGGGTTGAGGCTGGGTCTTCCAACATGACAATGACCCGAAGCACACAGCCAGGATAACCAAGGAGTGGCTCTGTAAGAAACATATCAAGGTTCTGGCATGGCCTAGCCAGTCTCCAGACCTAAACCCAATAGAGAATCTGAGTGTTTTTCAGCGACAGAGAAGTGTGGAGGAGTGGGCCAAAATCCCTCCTGCAGTGTGTGCAAACCTGGTGAAACACTACAGGAAACATTTGACCTCTGTAATTGCAAACAAAGGCTACTGTACCAAATATTAACATTTTAGGTGTTCAACTACTTATTTGCAGCTGTATCATACAAATAAATAGTTTAAAAAAAATCATACATTGTGATTTCTGGGTTTTTTATTTATTTAGACAAATGTCTCTTACAGTGGTCCATGCACCTACGATGACAATTTCAGACCCCTCAATGATTTCTAAGTGGGACAACTTGCAAAATAGCAGGGTGTTCAAATACTTATTTTCCTCACTGTAGAATATATATACAAAGTAATATACTTAGAATAAATGAGTATCACACATGAAGATGAAAAAGTCACATCTTGTCATGTTGAGGGGTGTTACTGGTTTCAGTTCACAATGTATGTGGTTTCTGGTTGAACAAATAGGTGTTTTAAACCGAGTGGCACCAAACGTCTGCAGCAAGGGGACGGTTTCATTGCATTCAGACTCTTTTACCAAACAAGATGCTGCGAAGTATCATCCTGGTCACCCTGCTGATATCCTCAGGTAAAATCAGATCACAGATCAGTAGTTATCTTACTTAATCTATTCATCTTTCTATTCTGTGTCTAGCTGAACATTGTAGACCAGTTTGGAGCCGCTCATGTACATTTGTAATGCCGGTCATGCTAAAACCAGCTCGAATGTGCACAAAATGTACATATTTTAATCTAATTTTCTGGCTGTTGAACAGTAGGCTATATTAAGTGCCCACATATTGTCTTCTAGGTTTAGTGTACGTGTTAAATTGATCATGTATTATTTTCCCCTCACAGTTTGTGCTCTTCACTGGGAAATGCACAAAGAAGAGCCCAATGGAAATGAAATGGAAGAAGGCTCTGTGAGTTTGTGTGTTATTTTGTGTTCATTTGGACTGCTTTCACCAGATTATTATCAGTAGTGGTCAAAATGTATCATAGACACAAGACCTTTTCAGTTATTTTTCAATATTTTTTTTTGAAAATGAACTAATTTAGCTGAATGGTAATTTTACACATTTAATCAAAATTCACAACTTATCTTAAAACAGGAAAACTACATGATCAATTTATGATGATGATGATGGATAACTAGTAGAGATGTGAAGTTCGTTGCACGTTAAACTACAAAAGTGTTTGCAAGATGCAAAGAAGGTTGACCGAGTCATTTGAACTGCTTGGTTCTGTCATATCTAAACTATTGACTCTAAAATCCTGTATATTGTCTTGTTAGGGTGATGTACAAAAAGAACAACTCCCTGGATTGTGCTGGGCTTGCAAGTGGGCCATGAACAAGCTGAAAAGACGGATCTCCAACGGCGCGACTTCGGTTGGTACAAGCTTACTCTTTTATATGATTTCATGAAAAAATTATGTTTATTCAAATACAGAAACTACAGTATTAGTGAGTACTAAAGTGTGCTTGTCACTTACCAACAGGAAGAAATTAAAAAGAAGCTGTCGATGGTCTGTGATGAGATCGGGTTCCTAAAGTCACTGTGTAGGAAGTTTGTGAACAAGTACACGGACACTCTGGTCGAAGAACTTTCAACTACTGACGACGCCAAAACCATCTGTGTTAACATTACCGTTTGCAAGAAATAGCCCATTGAGAAATTAGTTAAGTCGTGCTTAAAATTGAAATTGTGTCATACGCACACTCATGTCGTTTCAAGACTTTCGTTCATCTTTGACATACAAATCTGAGAGATTACTGTCCCTTCATTGAAAATCACACGTGACGAAAAGCCAATTTAATCTGTTCATCATATAAAACGATCGCATCTCTTCAAAAGACTTGGAGACCGCTCAATTCGTATGGATTTCTTCTGCAATCTCTTTATTAAAGTTTTGACATGTCAGTTTCGGGTATTTAGACTGGAATCTCAGTTTTGTGTTCTGAATATGAGTCTTATGGGTTTGGAACGACATGAGAGAGTAAATTATGACTGAATTTTCATTTCTGGGTGAACTATAACTTTAATGGTAAAGTCATTTCTGTTTGCTTCCAAAAGTTGATGAAATTCTGCAGTGTTCTAGAGTTAAGAGTGTGATTATTGTGGTTTTGTATGTCACAAGTTTTTGTTTTTTTCCATATTTGTCAAATACATCCGGCTTTACACCACTGTTTTTGTTTCTGCAATCGACTGGAAAATAAATGTGTGAGAAGCATTCATGTCTTTGCTCTTTTCTAATTTTTGTAAATTACAAACAGAGCATGCTTGAATTTGTATTTTATTGGTCCATTAGCACCACACCACATACAATGTCTCACGCCCATTTCAAACTCATAATTTCTTGAATTTCACAAACTAATCACCAATAAAGACAATTTGCAGAAAGACTAAATGGAATAAAATGGGTTTGAGTCACAAGAATAAACAAACATACAAATAGTGTCCATACAAATAGTTACAATAAAAAAAATACATAATGATTTCATACATGCTACAATACATATTTACAGACGAAAGTTTTCAAACATTCACCCATTAACAGTTAACTTTGTACGATACTAGTTATATTTAGGCTAATGCAGTTTACAGCGAGGCTGCAGTGACACTCAGCATGCATTTGGAGTTGCGAGAGAAGACATGCACAGGTTCAGTTTTCCGTCTCCAGCTCTGCTGCAGTGCATCCTGGTCCAGCTTATTTAGACTCTGGGAGCACAAACGCAGGTCACGGATGTGATCAGAGAGACCATCCAAATAAACATCCCCCAGTGGTCCTGACACCTGACAGCCTGTCGTGAAGAACCAACTTTAAACGTTAGAGGACACCGACTGTTAAGCACACAATAAAATAATCGTCGACAAACCCTGCTATGGTCTATGGTCACCACCTCCATGAGCATGCACAGAGAAGTCCAAATTAAACATGATTTAAATGACTCATAAATGTAAGTACACATTGATGGCCTAAGACACGAAACGAGCGGTTTGTGTGAGAAAACGAACAGTATTTATATCGTTTTTTTTACCTCTTATAACCACAGCCACGTACAAGTGATCTGAGGGTGCGGGCGCTTTGTGGCCGTGGTTATAAGAGGTACTGTTCGTTTTCTCACACAAACCGTTCGTTTCGTGTCTTAGGCCATAAATGTGTACTTACATTCACGAGTCATTAAATCATGTTTAATTTGGACTTCTATGTGCATGCTCTTTGAGGTGGTGACCATAGACCTCCATTATATGACTGACGGACAACAACGGTTTGACCTAAAAATATCAAAATTGAAAATACTGTGGAAACAAAGACACCTACATCTTGGATGCCCTTGAGGTAAGCTAAAACATACCAAAAATTCATTTCAAAGTGAACTATCCCTTTAAGATTGTTGGTGACACAACCAGCAATTCAAACTTTATGTAAATGAGCTTCTCGAACTGTATTTCCTGAAATACCGCAAGATGCAAGATTATGATCTGACTAGATGCAGCAATGTCATTAAAAAAAAATGATGCATGGGAAACGGCGTCAAAGACGCATAAATATATAGACACAGACAGCAAACACTTTCCTAATTAAGTTTTTAGCAGTAATAAATTTGATTACATATTTTTACTAGCAATTCCTCACATTTACGATCAGATTGGAAAGCATAAAGTAATAATACAGGTCTGAATTGTCAGTAAACCTATTACACAGTACCCTTAAATCACCTTTGAGGTCAACCGTCTCGCTTCTGTGCATGTCATGTTTTTGGGGTTTGAACCTACAAACTTTACGTTATCAGCCTCAATTTTTAATCACTAAACCACAAGCAAAATTCACAATAAAAAGACAATTTATGTGTGTCAAGCAGGACGGGGCCGAGAGCCAAGGATAAAAGGGAGGAGACGACAGTGAAGGACGAGAGTGAAACAAGTCTGGACTTTACAATGTGTTTTGTGTTAGTTTAAGTGGCATTCGTCCATGAGGGGCTGCCACTTTACTTTTGTTGTTTGTTTATTTAAGTTGTTTATTAAGACTAAATGGAATAAAATGGGTTTGAGTCACAAGTATAAACAAACTCACGTGTCCATACAAACAATTACAATAAAAAAATTCATAATGACTTCAAGCGTGTAGCACGTAGCGCTGAAACCCTATTGTAATTGTTCAAATTTCCAAGGATCAGCATTCTCCCCTAAAAGTGAAGACCGAACTTGAGTGACTTGAGTATGATTTGTCAATTATTATCATAAAAAGTTGAAATTTCCATTCGCGGTCTCTAAGGGCCACCAAAACGTTCATGGAGCCACTTTTACTAATTGGTATGTTGTGTCTCTGTTCAAGGGACCAAGACTACCTTGGAGGAAATTTCCGAATTCCAAAGATAGCTATAGCAGGGCCATTTAGAAAATAGGCATAGCCAAGTCTAACCAAAAGCCTATCATTCCTAAACAAAAGCATAAAAAGCAGCATGCAAACTTTAGTGGAGATCGGCCCATAGGTGGGGCTTTAACTGTTAAAAAGCTGTATTTCTATGGCAAAACACATGAAATTACTGAAAATGGCCTTCTTTCTGCCTGATTTGCATAGAACTTCATGAAATTTGGTGTGCATATGTGTCACATGGTTCTAAATAAGCATGGAAACGTTTATGAAGATGGGGCAACTGTTACAGAGAAACAAGTAAACTGCCCATATTGGCTATAAATGGCCTTTTCCATTTATGATTAAAGTGATTACATGCTTGCTAAATAAAACGTAATACCTTTATACACGTATGCTTAAAGGCCTTAAAGGAGTAGTTCACTTTTAAAAAAACTTTTGCCGACAATTTACTAACCCCCGTGTCATCCAAGATGTCCATGTCTTTCTTTCTTCAGTCGAAAAGAAATGAAGGTTTTTGATGAAAACATTCCAGGATTTTTTCCATATAATGGACTTCAATGGGAACCAAACGGTTCAAGATCCAAATGAGAGTTTCAGTGCAGCTTCACAGGGCTTTTAACAACACCAGACGATGAATAAGGGTCTTGTCTAGCGAAACGATTGCTCATTTAATAAATAAATAAAGTTTTATAAGCACAAATGCTCGCCTTGCTCTGTTCTGTGATGCACGTTCGTGACTCTCCTGTTCAAACTCGTTTATCAAATTGAACAAATATTTTTTCGAGTCATGACTCGAAGGGTCCTAGATAAGACCCTTATTCATCGTCTGGTGTCGTTTAAAGCCCTTTGAAGCTGCACTGAAACTCTCATTTGGACCTTGAACCGTTTGGTTCCCATTGAAGTCCATTATATGGAGAAAATCTTGCAATGTTTTCATCAAAAACCTTAATTTCTTTTCGACTGAAGAAAAAATGACATGGACATCTTGGATGACATTGGGGTGAGTAAATTATCAGCAAAAAAGTGAACTACTCCTTCAAAGTGCTTGAACCCCATTAATTGCTGCTTGCAGCTATATTTCTAATTAAAGTGTTATGTTCAATGTTCCTGGCTCCACCTTCCTTTGTGAACAAACTTTGCTACAATATGGCTCCGAGCAGCAAAATAATGGCAATCAAACCTGAATATCCCTAAAAAGCACCAGGGGAAAAGAAAATACCTTGAAGGTTGAGATGCATCAAAGGTCGCTGGGCCTCCATTAAAGCGTTGAGGAGGCTTTGAAGACCGGCTGAGGTCACTGAAGGGTTGGCAGACAGGTCTAAAGACACCAGGGAAGGACAAACAGGAAGACACCTAAAAACAACCAAAGATCATTATTGATACTATATTATAAATATGTAAGATTCACAATAATAATCATTACTATTGTTGTAAAGGGGCTGAAAACTGAAATAAGGATATAAATGATGCACTGACATTTCGATATAGAAATAGAAGAGTTGAAATATTCACCTAGCAATCAAAAGGACGCTGTGGTCCGTAAGGCCATTTCCAGCCAGATTTAAGTGTGTGAGTGGACAGTCACCCTGGAAGACAAACACAAACATTTAGTCAATATTATTTACATAGCTATACAATGTTACAGGAAGATAGTGAAGTGAAATACTCATATAAAACAGACTTTTTTTCTATATATTTTTTTCCCGCCGGACGCTACTATGCATGTGTGTAGCAAAATGTGGAGGTTTGATGCACATGCAGTTATTTAAAGGGTTAGTTCACCCAAAAATGTAAACTCTATATGAATCCATATAGTTTCCAAACCTACAGTATATGAATTTATTTCTTCTGTTGAACACAAAAGAAGATATTTTGAAGAATATAGGTAACCTAACAGTGGATGGACCCCATTGACTTCCATAGTATTTGTAAAAAATACTAAGCCCATCAACTATTTGCTGTTTCTTCAAAATATCTTTTTCATTTTTGGTTTAATTATCCCCTTAACGTCCATCTTGTCCCTCAGTTCCAACTGTATTAATGGTAGGTCTAAAATGGATTAATATAATGATTATTTGTAGATTTCTTTAAATTGTGTACCTGTGTAAGGAGTTTAGTAAAGATCTCCATGGCAGGCTGGTCGGATGGACCTCTACAAACCGCAGAAAGCTGAAGGTGTGTAAGAAACTGCATCGGTAAAGTCTTCAACACAAGCTCAAAACCAGTGGAGCCCAGTGCATTATGGGAGAGGCACACTGACCGCATATTCCCGGTGCCTGGAGAGCACAATACAGCATTACAGAAACAACATTAACCATGCTTTCATTTGGTTGTCAAACAGAGGTCCAACCACTTCAGATCAGATGTTTCTGACAGTGCACTTACTGGCCATGGCATTGGCTAATAGGAGACGGTGTTGCTGGAGGAAACGTGCAGAGAGGCCACAGGCTTGCAGGGAAAGAGTGGAGAGAAGGGGACAAGCGGACAGAAGACTTGCTAGTGCTTGTGTCCAGCCGTCACCCAGAGGATTCATGCTTAAATTCAACTCCTCTAGACACTACAGAAACAAACATGGGAAAAGAATAAGAGAGTGAAAATGAATATAAAAATAAATAAATAAAAACAAAATTCTGAAAATTAATGTATTAATGCATGTATCAATACCCCAATGGATACACTTTATTTGGACAGACATTCCACTACAATATTTTTTCGAGTCATTTCGTTCGTTGAATGAACTAAATGACTTGAAAAAAGATTTGTCCGTTTTGATGAACGAGTTTGAACAGGAGAGTCACGAACGCGCATCACAGAACAGAGCAAGGCGACCATTTGTGATTATAAAACCTAAACAGTTTTATTTATTTTTTAAATGAGCGATCGATTCGCTAGATAAGACCCTTATTCATCGACTGGTGTCGTTTAAAGCCCTTTGAAGCTGCACTGAAACTCTCATTTGGACCTTGAACCGTTTGGTTCCCATTGAAGTCCATTATATGGAGAAAAATGCTGGAATGTTTTCATCAAAAACCTTAATTTCTTTTCGACTGAAGAAAGAAAGACATGGACATCTTGGATGACATGGGGGGGGGGGTAAATTATCAGCAAGTTTTTTTTTAAAGTGAGCTACTCCTTTAAGCAGATATTTTACAAATACTCTGACTACTAGTTGACATGTAGTTGCAAAGTTACTTACTGTTAGTAGAATGTCTAAAGTGGATTGAAATAAAGTGTTATATCAATTTTACAACCATCTGATACCATCATTGTACAATGGCGCCACCACAGAACTCTTGAAATAAGGAAATGAGCAACAAGTTCTCTATATTCTGTCAGTGTAAAATTCATGAAGTGTGAATTTCACACCTCTGTTCTTTTAGACTTCACCATAAACACTTCCCTCACAAACCCACAAAACCAAAAAAGACTCTTCCTGTTCAATGATTGTCTGATAAAAAGTGGTTTGATATGACTGGATAAGTTTTCATACCGGACGATTGTTTTTTTTTTTTTCAACGTGAATAATGAAATAATTGTCTTCCGTAGAGCAGCTTTATAGCTGAATTGAACTCATTTCATAATTGTCACTGAACAGTTAATGAAGTAAATGACACTGTTGACTTTGTAGAGAAGCTTTACAGCAGAATTTGAACTCCTCTCATATTTGATGAAGTTTGCATCATTGATGTGAAGCTGCCTTGAAATAAATCGTAAAAAGCTTTAGATGAATAAAGGTGACTTGACCTAAGATCTTTTAAATTGTATAAAGATCACACAATTAATATTTTGGCCATAGAAACACCTTCCCTCAACTGACTATACAATTTAACAACAAAATTTTAATTCCCATGATTTCATTATTTTACCATCCCTGCAAATGACACTTTTGAAATTTAGGCATTTCCCTGGGAATTGAGCTAGCTCCATGATGAGCTCAACCCTGATATTCAAGGTTTCCCAGGAGCAAAACTGCATCATGACATATGGATATATGCTCAGGAACTGTTGTATATGAATAAATACATTTTAATGACATTTTGATTTGTTTAATATAGTAAGACCACATAGAAAAACTATTTTTTATAAAAGCTTTTTAAAAATTGCATAAACATTTTGTTCTCTCTGAGTGGCAGAACCGGTGACTAACCAGGGGTCCCAAAGTCAAATATGGTCGCGAGTTCTGTCGTTACTAATAGAGTTCAATGGAAATTGCGTTTATAGTTAGCCAATGATGCTTTTGGGAAACTCACCCCAGATGTCACTTACTCATCCCCTCCAACACATCCATGCACCATCATATAGTGTGTGTGAAAACACTAACACTCGTCACATTATATATGAAGCACTTTGTTGGATGTCAAAGTGCAGTTCATCAGTGAAAGGTGAATATATATATATATATATACATACACATACATATACACATACACACACACATGTATATATATATATATATATTATGGCAGTCAAACGATTAATCGATAAATAAAAATATATTAATTAAAATATATGGGTGCACCGAGTATAATTATTATATATATATATATATATATAAATACACACACATGCTTGTATATATTTAAGAAATATTTTAATGTATATAGATTTTTATATAATTTATATTATATATAAATATTTTATATATCATTTTTTCATTAAATATACATGCATGTGTATGTATATATATATATATATATATATATATGCATAGTGCACCCACATATATTATGCAAACACAAACTTTTATTTTTGGATGCAATTAATCGCATAATTAAGTAAAGGATATTTATATATTTATTTATTTATTTATTTATTAAGGCTGTCAATTTACATTGGTCCTCTTATATTTCATACACTTGATTGGTGGCAAACATGAATCAGGGCAATAACTCATTGTATGATGTAGTCTATATAATGAAAATTCAAGATATAAGGGCAAAATTGAGTTATCATATGATTTATATCATAAGCAATATCAGACGTTCAATAAATAAGTTGTTAATATTGGTCAATTTTAGACACGATTTTGTCCATTTTTGCTCAATTATGAATAAATCTGAAATCAGTCAGGTGAACCAATGATTCAATGGCCCATTCATAAAGAGCCGTTTACTTAATTCCCGAATGCATCAGCCGTTTGAATTAATCAAATGAATCTTACTCATTTAGACATTTACCAAAAACTACTGGTAGTTTGAGTTTCTTGAGTATCATTTAATTAAAAAAAAAAGTAATTTTGGAGATAGTTTGCCTGAAAATGAAAAATCTTTTTTTTTTTACATTTACTTATCCCCTCATGTCGTTTCAAACCTGCATGACTTTCTTCTTTTGGAGAATGTTTTAACCAAACCGTTTTGGGCTGCAAATATATCTAAATACCAATTAAAAAAAAAAATCATGGCTTTTGTAGCCTAAAAGTTTGTGTAAGACGTTAAGAAGTGAGAAATGTATTAAAATTGGCTCAGTATCTGCAACATGGAATAAATGAATGTGATTCATAAACATAAGGAAACCAGTAGTGGTACCGCCCACTATCGACCTCACAAAACCACTGGCAGTGTGAATTCAGCTTAATAACAGATCTTATATTACTGAATAAATGAAAGTATACTTACAGGGAAAGCAGTTAGACTCTTCGTTTCCAATGTGTCCGATGCTTTCTTGAGACCCTCGCCTGTGATCTGATTGGCCGATATGTCTAAAATCCTGAGTCTGGGCATAGTGGCAGCAGCAGACATCAGTTCTGGAAGGAGGTCGTCGTTCAGACGGTTGGCAGTGATGCGCAGCTCCGTGAGGCTGGCCTGCAGCTTCAGCGCTCGCAGGAGAGGAGTCAGAGACGCTGGAGGCAAACTGAGTCCACAAACGTTCACACAGGAGCTGCTGTCCTGCACCTCACACAGCCGGGACACACGCCGGTTCTCCTCTGAAACACACATGACATGAAAAATATCAGACGAGCGTGTTTTGTAAGAAAGATCCCTGACTTCTTTGAGGCTGAGAAGAAGTTTAGGAACACAAAGTGTCACTCACCCACTCCCAGACTCTGACAGGCTTTCCTGTAGCGCTCGGGGAGAGGAGGAAGATCCCATGAACACACCTCAGCAAGAACCTGACCCAAAGATGAAATAAAGAAAGGCTTGCAGTGAAAATCTGCCTGGGCAAAATTGTTAATACCATAGATCAATAATAAAAAAAAAAGAAAGAAAAGAAAAAGACAGCAGCCAGGCCCTTTCACACTTCAAACACATCCAGTAATATTTATAGACCATTTTGCAAGATGTAAACAACACTGGTCCAGAAACACTTCCTGTTTCAGTTTGTAACTGTTTTCTTTATTTCACATGTAAAGAAAACATCTTAAAGATGTTTGTTTAACCCTTTAATTCAGTTTTATATGTTCTGTTGGTTGTATTATGTAGTGTTAAAAAACTGAAACAGGAAGTGCTTCTGGACCAGTGTTGTTTACATCTTGTGAAATGGTCTAAAATGCATTACTGAGACTTTCTTCTTTTGAGTCTTGTGTTTTTAATATGATGGTGAAACTTCACTACCAGACTAAATCATATGTTATGAATAATATTCTCTTTTGGTTTTGCGTCCATGAACTTTTTAATCAAGAAAAACAAATGAGATTAAGTACCATGAAGTAAAGTATTTTAATTACTAGATTATATAAATCACGATTTTGGTAAGCTTGTTTTCCGCCATGGAAAACTTTTTATCTCACAATTCTGATTTTTTTTTTTTCTCAGAATTGCAGGTTTATGTCTCACAATTCGAACATTATATCTCACAATTGTGAGTTTATATCTAACAAATTCTGAGGAAAAAAGTCAGTCAGAATTGCGACTTTATACATCACAATTTTGACTTTTTTTCTCATAATTGTGAGTTATAAATTCACAATTGTGAATCATGCAGTCTGAATTGCTCAATATAAACTAAAAAATGTAACTTGAAGAAAAAAAGTCAGAATAGCAAGATAAAAAGTCGCAATTACCTTTTTTATTTTTTGTAACCTGGCGGGAAACAGGCTTCCATATTTCAGTCATACAATATTTATTTTATTTAAATATTTAAATTAGGGCTGTGCAAAAGTTAATTGCGATTAATCGCATCCAAAATAAAAGTCTGTGTTTACATAATATATTTGTGTGTGCTGTATATAATTATTTTGTATATATAAATAGACACACATGCATGTATATGTTTAAGAAAATGTGTTATTCCTATATAAAATATTTATATTTATATAATATAGATTATGTATTTATATATATATACAGAATTCAAGCGCAAATAATTCTTAAATATATACATGCATGCATAGGTATTTATATATACAAAATAATTATATACAGCACACTCAAATATATTATGTAAAACAGACTTTTATTTTGGATGCGATTAATCGCAATTAACTTTTGCACAGCCCTAATTTAAATTATTATTTTACTGACAATAAAATAGTTTAGTGCTTTATTATCGGTCTATTACATTATATTATATTGTATTACTGTACCATATTCTTAATTATTGTTTATTATTATTTAATTATACATTTATTTTCCTGCCAATTCTTTTAAACTGTGACCGTATGATTTCGTTTGCTACAATCCCCCCTCCCTCCCCCCAAAAATGATGTTCTTAAAAGACAATAACCCATAAACAACAGAAAACAGTCCACAGAAGTTTTCACACGACCTCTGACCTCTTCATTGGTGTGCAGCACAGCCAGCAGTGGATCTGTGGGTAAGAGCAGAGCGCCCTCTTTCTGCAGGGACAGACGTGGCAGTAATCCACACATCTGATAGTAGCGCTGAGAGGCCTGCTCACACAACCACGCCACCGTACAGCAGTCTGCCTCACTGCAAACACAAACACAACATCTACAATAACATACACTCAGAACACACCACCACTCATCTGATGCATACAAAACTAGCATCAGACCTGTGAGGAACTGGAATCAGGAAGACATTGTCCTGAACTCTGACCCTCATCCTGATTGGTGCAAGCACATGGGCTGTTCGGTTCTGGAATGATGCTGAAGACTAAAAAAAAAATTATAATCATTATAATCATATAATCATTGTTCAGCCCAATAATAATGCATTTATTAATCATATCAGTCTTTAAGTGTCAAAAACAATGAGTAGTATTATGTAGAAATAGAAGTATTGGATTTCTAACCTCTTTTTTAACATATTCATTTAGTAATTGTTAGATAAAAATGCAGAACAACAGCATTTATTTCCAAAATGATAACTGAATGCCACTTGTTAAATTAAACAAGCAAAGTAATGAGGTAATTAACTTTTATACTGCAACTGCATACAATTTCACATATATTTAAGGAAAAATAGCAAGCACTATAACATAAAACCAAGTCAAGACCAAGACCAGACCACCTTAAAACCAAGTCAAGACCAAGACCAGACCACTTTAAATTCATCTAGTTTAAGACCGAGACTGAATACAAATGCCTTCAAAAAATCCTCGAGAGCAGAAACACTAGTGTACAGATTGTGTTGCATTCCAAACAGTCAATGATACAATGAGGTCTATTACCATTGACTGATGGGTCGGAGGTGCAGGGTCATGATTGGGGTCAGATTCCTCGTTCATGATGGGACTATGTGACCTGCTGACCTCTCTCCTGCCCAACATTACCATCCCGGGCAGTTGATTCATCTTCACCTGCCGAGTCTTATTAGTGCCCTTCTTCAGAGACAGACCCCTACTGGAGGAACTCTGAACTGCAATGAGGAAAATCCAACAGTCAGCTGACCTTTATCACAAAATAATTGCCAACATGGTGATCAGGACCCCAAAATGAATCAATACAAGTGTGATGAAAAGAAATAAACTGCAGAAGAGTGAGAGACATAAAAACTAATTAACAAAAGGCAATCAAATATATTTTAGCATTGTTAATAACTGTATATTTTTATATTAATATATTATATTAACATTAATTTATTAAAAACATACAAATATATTATATTATATAATATTAAGCTGCCCATTATGACAGAATAAATGTCTATATGTTGATCAGGACTTCAAAAATATTGATCTGAAAATGTGATAAGAAATTGCTAAATAGTGAGATATTTGACAAAAGGCAACCCCCCCCCAAAAAAAAAACAGTTTAGTGTCATTAATATATATATATATATATATATATATATAATTCAAAAATATTTGAGTGCAGACAACAGCAACTGACCGATCAGAGTCAAGTATTTCAGAAGCCACTTATGTGTAAATTTCAGTGATGGGGGTTATGTATGAGAATTATTTTTAAAAGTGTTTCTTGCAAAGTTACATTTTTGTGTTATCACTCATTTTTAGGAAACTACTGTTGTAGTTACTTTTGCATTACTTTATTAAAGTGTTGCATTACTTAAGCCATTAAATAAATGTAAGGGAGTGCAAAAAAAATAAATAAAAATCAGTTGTTGGACATTAAATGCAGGATTTAACTAATTCACATTGTATATATAATGGATGCAAAAATAGAAGAACTAAAAGTGAAGCCCCAATTAAATCAATAAAAAGTCTAATCTTATCTCTAAAATCTAATATTCTGAATACATTATTGTGTGTACATTGTAATCCTCATGAAACTAATCATATGATTACGCCGGTATGTCACACACCTCTAGGAGACGCATCAGCAGAGACTGAGAAATGATTCTGATTTCTGAAAGTTGTTTCCCGTGGGACGTTATGCTCAGAAACTCTCCGCTTCTTCTTAGGCTGCACATCACTCAGGTCATCCTCCAGCCAATCATCTGCCACATACTGCTCCTCTGGGACCAAAGCCGATCTGCTATTGGCCGACACCGCTGGCGTGCTGGTAAAGGCCGGCTCTGATAGGCTCTGAGTGAGGAGGCGGGATTTGGCACTGCCCAGGTTCTGCATGGCCTTCTGGTACTCCAGTCTGCCCGAGTCTGACTGCGGGGGCAACGCGGTCTCTCTGACGGCGTACACGGAGGGAAGATCCTGACTGGGTGGGAATTCCTGCGAGGATTGAGTCGCTGGGGAGCGCGGTCTTGACCGAACAGGACGAAGAGGACTGAACGAGCAATCAGAGTCAGAATCACTCGAAGAACTGCTTTTGTTCTAAAGCAACACCAAAAAAAAAAAAAACATGAGTTGAAGAACAGGTCGATGTCATTCATCCAGATCCTGAGCATCATTGACAAATATCTTATCTTGTAAAATGTGTGGTCAGTACCACCCCTCTCTATAAAGACTATGCATGATTGCGAATAGGAAAGTTAAAGTAAATTCAAAAGCGATTTCAATACCCCGCATATTGATAGTGGCTCCCTGATTCCTGCAAATTATATACAATATAATTACACAACTATTATATATAACTGAGAGAGAATGTAAAAAATTTAAAATATATTTTTTCCCCCATCATCATGTCCCTTTAGGGGCTCCGTAGAGTCATTTCCTTTCCGAACATAGTATTCGGCTTTGGGCAAATCCCTAGAAATTAGGATCTCAAAACGGAAAAATTGTTTAATTTAGCATTTAGGAAAAGTTCCACAGCAATAAAAATGTATTTTGGAGTTTGAAATAAATAAAATGTCGCTTGCCATTTCTTTGTAACTATTTTTGAAATTTACTTGTTATTTGTGAAAATAGTTTTCAAAGTAAACCCTACACCAATGTTTTTTCTAGAGATGAAAAAATGTGTTTTAAAAAATATCTTTTTTTTCATAAGCCAAATTTCCACTGTTTTTTTTTAACTAATATAATAGACTATAAATGTATTATTGTGATTATCATTTTTTTTTTATCTAACAATAATAAAAACATTGTAATAACACTATTTCACTTACTTCAATAGCAATATTTAGGTCTTAAGTTTTTCATTTTCAAACGGTAACCCATCAATCTTTTATTTTGATAGGTGGCAGGATATTTTTACATCTTTTACATCTTACTGAGCATTCCAACATGCAAATATTTTAATAACAACATGAACCGCCTGAAATTAAGAAAGTGATCGGTTAAAAGTAATGGTTTACGGTTTGTATATCTGCAGTCCTTGTTTTGGTTTCTCCTTTTGAATAACGAATATATACTATTGATACCAACTAGTTATTTCCTTGAACGCAGGCGCAAAACACACATGCTAGTTGACAGTCAGCAGTAGTCTTTGAGATATTTTCACCGCTAGTTCTTTGACGTCGGCTTGTTGTGTCACTGTCACGGCCTTTGTGTTCGCACAATTTACAGTAAATAAGCAGAGCCATTTTGAGATGAATGAACTGTGTTAAAGTGTTAAAGGCTTGCTTCATTAAAATCAATAGTGCATATGTTGATTTAAATAGCAGCCAGCGCCCAAGTCATATCATAATATCAATTTGATTTCGATATATTGTGCAGCCTTAGGAAAAACTGTTCAGAAAAGCCACTTTACCCCATACAGAACATCTACTTCCATCCCTCGTGGCCGGCGGGCTGAAGCGGAGGTGCCCCTGCGTCTGGGAGCCGAGTCTTTTGGAGTAGGGACAGTGGGAGCGGGACGTTGAATGATGTGCTGGGGTGACGGCGGGGACTCCTTCAGCAGTGCTTCTGAATACTCAGCATCAAACAGCTGACTGTCCCGAAGCTCCTTCTGTTGTCGTGAAGCCGTCGATATAACTGAGACTTCGGCAGAATAAGAAAAGGATTTTTAAGTACTGAGATTTAACACTTCCAATTCATCTTCCATAAATCAAGTGTTCTTAAACTTTCCGTCAATCTAGTTTAAGTCAATAAATCAAGTACTGTAATGACTTTTAAATAAGAGTATATTTAATTTCAGTGATTTTGCGTATGCGTAATGTTATTTTTAAACAGGTCATGAAGTAACGAAGTACAAATACTTCACCGATATAAGCGACGGAGAAATCAACAGTTTTCTGCTCAAATACGGGTCAAATTGCGTGGGATAAGTGGCAAAGATAATCGTTAGTGTAAATATATATATATATATATATATATATATATATATATATTAGGGGTGTAACAATATATCGTGCCACAATATATCGCAATACAAAAATGCAACAATACTTATCGTGGATAGTGACGATATGTCTTGTGGATAGTACCCCCAAAATAAAAATTACTATGTGAGAAAAAAATTCAAGTTTTCAGAGTTTTAGTGTTATTACTACATTAAACTACTATATATAACTTTGAATATAATGTATAATAATGCAATGGGGGAATATTTGTGCAATGGGTCCTGATAATGCCAAATATCTTATGTTACCTGTAAAAAGTGGCCAACATTATTTTAAATATATCTAGACAGTGACAGATTTTTAGCTTCAGAATAATGAATATTGTTTTATTAAAACCCACAATGTAATATCGAATTTAGTATTTTAATCAACAGCACATTTTTTACCTTTTACCATATGTCTTGGAGTATTGCAATAATATCGTATCGTGAGTTCAGTATTGTGATATGTATCGAATCGTGACATGAGGGTATCGTTACACCCCTAATATATATATATATATGCTTTCGACTCAACACACACATCCAGAGCAGGCAAATGTCAGCCGTTAAGCGACTGAATGCCAGTGAGTGGGGCCTATGGTGCAGTGATGTATAACTATAAGTTGAGGTCTTCTGGAGGAAGTCACATGTGTTTAAAAATGTGACATCACAGATCCCGCAATATCAAAACAGGCCGATTAAATAAATGCTTTGTTTTAGGGCTGGCACGATTAACATCTCGCTGGTTTCATAGCTCAAAATGTCATCATTATAAACAAATTAATCGATTAATCGAAATGAAACCACGTGCGATTTGGCAAAGGCTGCGATTTTCTTTATGTGTAGCTTGTCAGAAACGTACAGCTCTGTGATCCATAATAAATGCTTCTACATTTGAAAGCACTGCGAGTTTGAGTTACTAATAACGTGCATTTGAAGAAGCTGCGCATAAAATAATAATCGCAGCCTTTGCCAAATCACGTGCCGTTCCATTTCGATTAAACAATTACTTAGTTTATAATGAGGACATTTTGAGCTATGAAACCTGTAAGATGTTTTAATGGTACAAAGACCAAGGCAAATATGATTTCTCATGTCATGACCCCTTTAAATCACATTATACATAGAATCAGCTATAAATCATTGGTTAGCCATTTAAAAAGTATCTTTGATTTCCTCACCGTCTCCTGACAAAGCTCTCTTGATGAGTTTCTCAGTCTCCAAACAATCCTGCTTTGTCTCTTGGTCCAGCTGTCGGCTGTAAGTCTTAAACCACTGACGGAGAGTGTCCAGAGGAGTAAGTCCCTATAAATAAATATGTACATATAAGACAAATGTGGACAGAATCAACAAAGACAAATGATGAATCAATCGGTTTTGTTCCTGAAAGGAGGATGAAAATACTAGTGTAAGTAGCCTTATATATACTCGGAAAGCATTAAATTGATCATGTACAGTAAAAACAGTAATTCTATGACACATTTAAAACAATTTTAATATATTTTAAAATGCAATTTCTTCCTGTGATGGCAAAAGCTGAATTTCCAGCATCATTACTCCAGTCTTCAGTGTCACATGATACTTCAGAAATCATTCTAATATGCAGATTTGACAACAAATATTATCTATTTGTTAATAGTCAACATTCAGAAAGGTCCATTCTTGTTTTCCTGACCTTGCCATTGCGAACAGTGACTGACGCCCCTTTCTCCACCAGCAGTCGGGCTACATGGAAGTGTCCGCAGTTCAGCGTGTCATGCAGGGGTGTGACACCATCACAGTCTCGACCCCCAGGGTCATTTATATTGGCTCCACGTTCCAGCAGCAAAGCTACAATCTCTGAAAAAAAGATTTCCGTCACTTTGATGAGCTATATAACTACTATGAATGTAAACTTGCAGAATTCAGTACCTTGATGACCGTAGTTACAGGCTTCATGCAGAGGAGTCCACCCGCAGTAATCCCTCAAGTTAACTGGATGACCCTGTCAAACATAACAGAGAAAGGTCCATTTTATACGTGTTGTATCAATCTAATACTTCCTCAAAAAGGGTCAAAGCCATTTCACTCTTAAAACGTGAAGTACCAACACTGAAAAAAGCCAAACCCACCTGCTCAATCAAACACTGAACCTGCTTCAAGTTTCCCTCTATACAGGCCCTGTGGAGAACCGTCTCGCCCTTCTCATTCCGTCGGTTCCACTGCACAAGCAACACAGAACAAGATGAACAAACAATAAAACACACGAGGATGAAGCACAGCATAAACCACAGTCTGTCAGATCTCACCTTCTGCGTCTTCCTCCTGCCCGTGACCATCTTATCATAACCATCCAGATCATCATCTGCACAAACAGATTGTTCACTCACTCAGATATAAATGAACATCCTGATTTATATTTTGCATCATTTAAAAATAAAAAAAAACACCCCACATTGCACATTTTGTTAATTGAACATAAAACATAGAAAGAATTACAAAGTAAATATTGGGTCCAATAATGTGGTACCATGGTACTTTGATTTATAATATGGCATGCATCATGATATTTATGCCATGGTACTTTAATGGTCTTGCCTGTAAAATCAAGTAACTTTATACATATTAAGTTAACATGTCAAAATATTACCATCTGATGCAATCACTGTACTATGGTAGCACTTAGTGTTGTTAAAACTTGACTTGGCTAATAAAAGAAAAGCTGAAATAAAATAAAATATAAAAATTTGACTCAAAAAAACATCACTGAAAAATCAGAAATGTTGCCTTGGCCACAAGCAATAAAATGTCAATAAAATAAAATCAATAAAATGTCAAGTACTAAAATAAATTAATTAAAGCTAAATAGAAATATTAAAAAGCTAATGAAAATGACAAAAACACCCAAAATGAGTCAAATTAAAATACCGTATAAAAATCAAAGCTAACTTAAAATATTAATAAATACTATATTGGCGCTTTTCCATTACACAGTACCAGCTCGAGTCGACTCGCCTATGATTGGTTTTCCACGATGTAAAAGTTGCACTTTTTCTTTGGATCACCTCCGGCGAGGTTCTGAGCGAGCTAAGGCGATACCAAAATGTAACGTGAAAACATTGCCGACTGCTGATTGGTCAGCGAGAATCGTCACCATTCACGCCATCATTTCACGCGCCAGATGGAGTATCCAGAATAATCCCGCCATTTTTAAATAGTTTGGCCAGAGATAGTTACTAAACTTACTACTATTATTTTGGCAACTCGGAAGAATACGCCGTGGTCAAACGAGGAGGTGCAGACTTTCCTTTGTTTGGTTGCCAAAGAGAGGATCCTGCGAGAGATTGATAGGGCAGCGAGGAACGAAAGGCGTCGCTATGACGACCGGGTACTATTTGTGGTGGTACAGTTTGCAATGGAAAACAGAGCGAAAAGCGAGCCGAGGCGAGGCAAGTCAAGTCGGTACTGGTAATGGAAAAGAGCCATAATAGTATATAAAATACTTAATTAAGATTGATACCTCTACAGTAGCCTACTTTATGTATCGAATCTGCATTGCAATAAACCTCATTAGCATTCTATAAACCTATGTATGTTACGTGTGTATTACCGGAGTCAGAGTATTGAATGTCACTATCCTCCAGTGGTTCACTATTCTCCACCTCGTCATCTTCATCCTCCTCCTCTTCACTATCTTCCAGTCTCAGGCCGTCCCGCTCACACAGCTCCATCAGCCGGGCCTCTGTGTCGTCACACTGCGAGGAACCGGAGCGCCGCTGGGCCTGAACCCACGCTCTCAAAACACGCCTCTGGAACCACATCACAGATGGAATTACATCTCTCTTATCCAAAGTGATAGTTCCTATTTGATGAAAGGTTCAGTAGCGGAGTTTTCCTCAAGGGCACTATGGTTAGAATTCGTGAACCGACCCTTCTGGGGTTCGAACCTCCAACTTTGACTGAGCAGTCCAGTGTAATCTGTTCATCTCTGATTTATGAATGCAATTGTCTGCAGTCACTGGACAAGTACATCGTAGAGCTTTTAATCCTACATTTCAAACTTTGGTGGACTATATCCAACTCACCATTTCATATCAATGCCAAATTCCAGTGTATATAATAGGTAAAATTTGCTTTATCTGGTTTTAATTTGAGAAAATGTGATTCCCAGTGCACACAGACGTACTCAACCAGAATGCGTTTTTTTTTTTTCAGTCAACAGTCAACCATACCATGGAGATACTATCAATAAGCTTTTTAAAAATTACATTCACATTACCAAATTTAGTAATCAAAAGCAGTGTTTGTTACACTTTTTTATTTATTTCTTTATTTGTGAACAAAAATAATCTGAATAGGTTTACAGAACAGAATCAAAGAGTTAAAGTATAAATGTTTTATGTTTTAATCGGTATTTTTAAATGAATTGTAATTAATTAATTTATATATTTAAATAAATGTACTTAAAAAAACACTTAACATGTTACAATAAAGTTTCATTAGTTATTAACAATACAATTATTTCTAATGCATTTATTTAGTTACTTACATTTAAACATTTACTAATACGTAATTAAAATCAAAAGTTGTATCTGTCGCAGTTTAACAGACCTGAGCTAACATTAACGAACAATGAACAGTTGTATTTTTATTATTGTTAACAAATACTGTAGCAAAAGTGTTGCTTAGTGTTAGTTAATAAATTAACTATAATAAATTAATAAGACCCTATTATAAAGTAGTAGCAAAAATAAATTAAAATGTAAAGTAAACAAACATAAATTACTATTTTTTATGTTTTTGAAAGCATCAAGCCTTCATGTATTTGATAAGAAATATAGAAAAATATTATAAGAATTTATGGTTTTCTATTTTAATATACTATAAATTATAATTTATTTCTGTGATACAAAGCTGAATTTACAGCACTTCAGTGTCACATGATCCTCCAGAAATCTAATCGATGTTGGACACAGTTGTGGTCCTTAATATTTTTTTATATGGAATAACAAGTCAAATTGTTATTTTTTATTATTAAGTATATGCTAAATTTATCAAAAGTGATTGTAAATATTTCTATTGTAACAAAAGATTTCCATTTTTTTTAAATGCTGTTTTAATTTAACTTTTTATTCATCAATGAATCCTGAAATGTGGAATGTGCTAATTTGATAGTTAGCAATGTTGGAAACAGTTGTGCTATTTTTTTTTTATTAGCAATTAGCCAGGACCACAGACAAACTAAACATTTTCAGAAAGTCCACCTCTTCATGAAATCATGAAAACAGTGTTTCTCCTACTCATGAAACCAGTATGTGAAAGTTTTTTGAACAAACCTGTAGTTTGTTTAGTCCTGATCTCTCAGCACAGCTCAGAGCAGCACTAAAACTTTGATCAATGCTCTCCATTGGCTGTCCGATCTCCTCCTGACAAGCAGTTATATTTAACCATGTCTCACACTCCTGAAAAACACAATAACAAGATAAATATTGAAAAGGGAGGATGTTTGTGTAAAGTCACTCAGCTCTCAGGATGACGTACAACAGATTTTTCACGAAAACTGTAAGTGTCGGGTAGTTAAATAGCAGTTTGTGAGGATGTTACCTCTTTAGGGTTGCCCTGTCTCAGCTTCAACTCTTGTCTGTAATGCTCCACGGCCTTGTGGTGCAGTCGCAAATCTGTGTATGTGGCCGCCAGCGACACGTAAATGACGGCCAACTCACGATCAGGCTTCCCTAAAGTCTCTGCACATGCCAGCTAATACACAAACACACAAAGTAAAAACTTTAAATACAGGTTATAATCATATACTGAAAATGCATTGATATATTCAATTACTGTAAAAGCAGATCAAACATTTCATTTCAACTATAAAGAAACTGCTATATTAGAGTGCCCCTTGCAGCTGTTTGTGAATGTAAAAAATGTGAAATGTGAAAGTGTTGGCAAAGTTCAAAGATCAAAGAAGTGCACGATAAATTGAGAAATTGTCTCCCGAAATAAAAAAGCGATTCTAAACCGCCTGAACAAGTCGTGCGTCTCCCTTCCTGAACACATTTGCATAATGCCAGCCTATGGTCTTCATTGGCTGCCCCCGAACAACATTTACTCTGAACCGCCCACAAACACTATAGTTGTAGCCATAGACATAATAAATAGATAGACGCCCTATTTGCTGTGATACGCCATTTTGAGGAGGGCAAGACGGCACTGTAATCAAATGCAAGTAAACGGTGAGCTGCGTTTTTTCTGGATAAATACCCAAAAAAATTACATTAATCACCTGATTTCAGTGGTTTGTACGTGGTGTACAAAAGCTCTCTCGTTATTTAAAATTTCGATAGTTAGACTTATAAAACTTTTTTTAAGGAATTGACAAAGCTCAGGCTTCTCATGTAGGCTGTCTGGCTTTTTATTTTTTTAAAAGAATTGTGAAGATATCATTTAATTTTTACATTAAATTAAATAAAGTTTAAGACATCAGAACCAGCGGCAAACGTCAGAAGCACTAGCCGAGGAAAGGCTGTTCCAGGCGGGGTGAAGAGCGATGAGCGCTCGGTGAATGCCTGGATCTCAAAACTCCGAAAATGTCAGATCAAAATTTTAAATAGGCGCTATCTTTATAAAACCACAGATTTGAGCTTTAAACAACTACATTGTCAACTGAAAAACTATTAAAACTACATTTCGTGACACAATAACGGTAGTATTTTAAAATTTTGCTGCTTTTCTCCTCTGAACGTTACTATTACTAATTATTAGGGGTGTAACGATACATGTATTCATATTTAACCGTTTTGGTTCAAGGCTTACAAACGCATACAAACCGAACGATTCCTTGGACCAAATTTCTTGTCGATAAAATTCACGCTGGCGTGGCCACCACAATGCTGCGCAACATCAAATGGCAAGCGGAAACGAAAGCGGAACTTATGTTATTTTTAATGTGATGACCAAAACATTATTTGTTCATCTTTCAAAGATGACTCCCATTTAAAAACCTGAAAGTTTCAAGATGGTGGAAAACTCAAACTTATTTAAAAATATTTTTTCTTTTAGCAAATAGGACATTTCTCTGGCATTCCTTTCTTTCCGCTGTATCGAAAACGTACCGAACCGTGACTTTAAAGGGATAGTTCACCCAAAAATGAAAATTCTGTCAGTATTTACTCACCCTCATGTTGTTCCAACCCCGTAAGACCTTCGTTCATCTTCGAAACACAAATTAAGATATTTAAGATATTAAGATCACTCCTGTATACTAGTCCATAGGCTTCTTGAGGGAATGACTCTTGCTGGCATCGAAAAGTCATCAAAGACATCGTTAAAATAGTCCAAGTGACTACAGGGGCTCAATCTTAACTTTATCAAACGATGAGAATACTTTTTGTGCGCAAAAACAAACAAAAATAACGACTTTATTTCAACTTTATTTCACTTACTTCTCCATGTAGTCAGTTAACGTAGTGTGATTACGTAGAGCTACGTCACACGTAGGCTCACTATTGGCCGACGCTGGTCATGTGTGTGATGCGTGTGACGTACAATAACAGAAGCTTACGCTATTAAACTAGTAACCTGACTCGAGGCAGAGGGAGAAATAAACGAATAGTTGAAATAAACTCGTTATTTTTGTTGTTTTTGTGCACAAAAATGTTCTCGTCGTTTGATAAACTTAATATTGAGCCACTGTAGTCACTTGGACTATTTTAACGATGTCCTTTAATGACTTTTCGAGGCCAGCAAGTTTCATTCCCTCAAGAAGCCTATGGATTAGTATACAGGAGTGATCTTAATATCTTAAATATCTTAATTTGTGTTCCGAAGATGAACGAAGGTCTTACGGGGTTGGAACAACATGAGGGTGAGTAAATACTGACAGAATTTTCATTTTTGGGTGAACTAACCCTTTAAAACCGAGGTACGTACCGAACCGTGATTTTTGTATACCGTTACACCCCTACTAATTATATCATGACCATATACAACCAGAAACAAATGTTCAGTCTTGCTTGTGAAAGATAATTCCCCGAGACCAGTTTTCAATTGTGTTGCATTTGATTTGCCCAGACAGCAAACTGACATTGAATCAACGTGGAAACGACGTCTCTCATGACATTGAAACAACGTTGATTTTGCTCATCGAATTAACGTTGAACCAACGTCAGACGCGGCATTCTTCAAAGCTAAATGAAAATCGAAAATTGGTTTGCTTTCATAACGTTGAAACAACGCGTTGATTTCAAGTTGATTTTCCGTTAGTTTTGAAAGAATGACGCGTCTGACGTTGGTTCAACGTTAATTCGATGTCAGATCAACGTTGTTTCGATGTCATATTTCTACGTTGATTCAATGTCAGTTTGCTATCTGGGTTGTACAACCCCAGCAGCACACGAAACAGGAATTTTTCTCAATTCTCGTTATGAGACGTATGAGAAAGTTGCCCTCCGCAATATGGCGGCGCCGTAGACGTACGCTCCAGCAGCCAATAGGGCGTCTATGTATTTATTATGTCTATGGTTGTAGCTGAGGCCTGGAAGAGTTTGGTTTGTGTTGTCGACTTTACATGCACTTCTAAAGAATGAGGACTCACGCTGGAATTGATACAGTAAAACCGACACCATCATTACTGTTCATATCGCTGCGTAACAACAAGTGCTGAGGAAGATCCAGAGCTTTTCAACACGTGCTGTAAGCGGTAGACCAATCACAATAGATTGGGAATTCTGACCAATCAGAGCAGAGTAGTTCTCGGAGAGGTGGGGTTTAGAAACACCGGATCCTTTAACGTTTCAGACGATGTGAGAAAAGCGGTGATGCTGCAATGTACAATGTTTTGACCTTGGATGCATGTAAATCTTGCAGGAGACATTAGAAACTAAATTTGGAACCTATAAAATAGCATAAATGGGGCGCTTTAATTGTTTTTGGGTGTATTGTACATATTCTTACTTGTGTTTGATAAGCTTCCAGAGCTTTGTTAAAGCAGCCCACTTTACAGTAAAGATCTCCCAACTGCTCTGACAGATCCATGGCCTCATGGGAAAACTTATCCGTGACTTCTGCTGCCGTCTGCTCCAGCTGACAGCCCCGGATCGCTGCATCAGACACATATTCAGTCAAACAAGCTATGCTAATACTGTCATGAGAAGCCAGAGAGCTTTAACTTGGTGTCATCTAACTGAAAAATCAGCATTCAGCCATAAGCTGTGCAGCTTTAAGAGACAAACCGCTGTTAGATCTCTTGATCTGGCAAAATCGCTCACAGCTGTTCTTAACCTCACCATGTTTGAAGTCTTTCTTGACGGCCTCACGTTCAGAAGGCTGCTGGGAGCCCAGACAGAACGCTTTCTTTAGAGAACGCCGCGCTGCTGCAAAGTCACCAAGATGAAGCAATATCTGCACAGCAAAACATAAATAAAAGGTCAAAAATCATTAAAAGGGACAGGAAATAACAAACCATGCAGTTACATGTTGATCCCATTGCTGTTTGGAGATTATCCAATGGGATTAGTATGGGATCATCACCTTGCCGATACTGTGGAAGCACTCGCTCTCACTGAACTTGTCCTTCATTTTGCGGGCACATTCTTTAGACTGCTCAAAACAGCGCATGGCGCGCGAGTGCTGCCCGTTTCGGAAGTGAATGCTGCCCAGGTTGAAGTTGGCACGATACAGATCCTCAAGGAGGTTGTTTTTCCTAGAAGAAAAGACGTCAGATATCCACAAAATGGTTTTGTAACAAGACGGACAGAATGAGATCTCCCTCAACTACAATACAGTATTTTGGTTAAGAGTAGTTCACTTTTACAAAAATTTCATCCAAGTCATCCATGTCATTCTTTCTTCAGTTGAAAAGAAATTAAGGTTTTTGATGAAAACATTCCAGGATTTTCTCCATATAATGGACTTCAATGGGAACCAAACAGTTCAAGGTCCAAATGACAGTTTCCTGTTCGAACCCGTTCATCAAAATTAACTAGTCTTTTTTCGAGTCGTTTTGTTCATTTCGTTCGTTGAATGAACCAAATGACTCGAAAAAAGATTTGTTCATTTTGATGAACGAGTTCGAACAGGAGAGTCACGAACGTTCATCACAGAACAGAGCAAGGCGAGCATTTGAGCTTATAAAACTTAAACTTTGTTATTTATTTATTAAATAACCGATTGTTTCGCTATATAAGACCCTTATTTATCGTCTGGTGTTGTTTAAAGCTGCACTGAAACTCTCATTTGGACCTTGAACCTTTTGGTTCCCATTGAAGTCCATTTTATGGAGAAAATCCTGGAATGTTTTCATCAAAAACCTTTATTTCTTTTCAACTGAAGAAAGAAAGACGTGGACATCTTGGATGACATGGGGGTGAGTAAATTATTATTAAATGAAAGTGATGAAACTCAGTATTGTATTCATTTAAAAAATAATATTAATAATTAAAATTTTTATAACATTCTTAGCCTAAAAAACAAGGTTGCCCTTTAAATATTTACATACAACATTATAAGTCACCCTGTAGTCAGTAATTATATCTTTTAAACTCATCTTTGATCACCAAAATTACATATTTAAACATTTTTTTACTGTGAAAAAAATTATTCCTCGTGCATTTAAATAGCTTGCATTTAACTCTACACCCTTGCTTCATTTCGTATACACAAATCTATGAATATGCTAATTAGCCCCACCTCCACTCACTCCCGCCAACTCAGATGTACACTCGCTGCACAATGGTCTCGTTTTTTACAACGTCGGACACAACCGTAATTAATATGATTAGCCTTTTGCTTGACAACGTTATCAAACAGCTAATAATGTTTTGCCAATGTTACACAAACCATGTTCCCGTTCGCCATTTCAGAGTCTCACTGCCTTCTAAAAACCAGAGAAAACGCTCTTAGAAATGCTTTGAACAACTCAGAACATCAGTGGAGAAAGACATAGAGTTCATCAAAACATCGTAATATACATCATACACCTGCTATATTATTAAATCTACCTGATTTTTCACATCAACAGAAAAATATCCAATAACCTGGGATAGCTCTCTATATCTCTCTAGACTCCCCTGCTAGTTCGCAGTTAATGATATGCTAAAGCCAGTCGACATGATTGGTTACAAGGTAGGCTAGTTTGTGACGTCAGAAACACAGATGATTTCAAACTGTGTTTTTGAGACTGTCTTTGGTTCACTGGAGTTTTAAGGAGAAAATAATGAATTAGCACATGATTTGTCTTAAAGCATATTAAAAACATCACATAGACACATAAACAACATTAAAAGCTTGATTTTCACCACGGGGGACTTTAAAGTCCCCATGAACCGGAAGTTGCAAACGACTTTTCTCCAGTGTTGTGACGTATTTCCGAGAGAAACGGAATACTAAATGAGGCAAAATAGTGGGCGTGGTTTTTTTTCCAACTAGCACCTGATTGGATCTAGAAAAATGTGTGTTTCATTCTGAAATGGAGGATGACGCAAGTTTACACACGCTGTCAATCAATGCTCGCTCGGCGCTCGCAAACACACAGCAGCTGTCAGTTGGAGGGGCGTGGTTATGGATGTTAAGGAGACACCCAAACCTTAAAGCCTACGTCATCGGGCAAGGTCCTCCAATGCAGAGGGGAGGGGCATTTTCAAAATTTGATTAAAGATTACGAAGCCAAAAAAATTTTTTGTGTGGATTGACTTGCATGTATGAATTGTTCACCACAAAACGATCAATTTAGGCAAAAAAAGTAAGTATGGTCAATTTTGATTTCATGGGGACTTTAAGGCCCTGTTTACACGAGAACGCTTGCGGATGAAAACGTAAAAATATTTTATCGGATGAGCCTTTCGTTTACACGGTGACGGCGATTTTGGGGCTGAAAAACGCAAAAAAGTGAAACCACCCTCCAGAGTGGAAATCTTAAAAATGCTCCACCGCCGTGTTCCCGTGTAAACGGTAAAAAAGCGCAATTGTCTGCTTGACAGTGAAGGTTGTACGCAGGCGCGCGGACTTGGTGTTGTTGTAGTATGCACTCCTAGCCGCCTGGAGTGCATACTACATTGAATTTCACACACTTTTGCGTCATCATTTGCACGCGGATTTCCCAAACAAAACGCTCGTCTAAATGCAGAATAAAAAGTGATCACAACGCCACTTTCGCGTTTTCTCTTTAGAATCGTTTCCGCGTAAACATAGCCTAAAATAACAATTATTATTATTATATAATTATATAAACGCAAAATTTGAATTCAGTGATTTGACAAACACAACATTTCATTGTACAACTTGTTACTTAGGTTGTTTGTTAGCTTATAATTTAACGCCATTCCAGCTACCATAGTTTTTTCATGGGAAGAAACCGGTTAAATTGTAGCAAAAAAAAAAAACATTTATCTTCAAAATAAATAAATAAATGTATCTAAAACCAAATCTGTTGTTGCTTCGTAAAAAGAGAGAATTGGTAAAGGTTCTGAAATCAAATGAACAGCATTTATCAGGATTTATTTGAAATTTTGTATCATTATAAATGTCTTTACTTTTACTTTTGATAAATTTACTGTTCTTGCTGAATAAAAGTATTTTGTGTATCACAGTTTCTATAAAAATTCCACAAAGCATGGATAATAATAATAAATGTTTCTTGATCATCAAATCAGCATATCAGAATGATTTCTGAAGGATCATGGGACACTGAAGACTGGAGTAATGATGCTGAAAATTCAGCTTTTATCACAGAAATAAATTACATTTTAATATATTCAAAACACAGTTATTTTAAATTGTAATATTTCACAATCCTACTTTTTTTACTGTATTTTAAAATAAATGCAGCTTTACTGATCAAAAGAGACTTCTTACAAAAACATTAAAAAAAATATTAACCTTAATTATTCCAAACCTTTTAGTTCGTTTATAGACAAAAGTTCTTACTCTGCGATGTAGATGCTCTGTCGTATGAGGTCACTGCAGCGCTGCGGTTCCTTCATGCCATCATACACACAGCCCAGATTCAGCAGGAGACGGGCCTTCATCTCACTGAGCTCTCGCGACGACACTGTACCTGCAGAACCACAGACAACAAAAATCAAACACATGGAAAAAAACAGGTTATACAGTATACATATGTGTTCTTTTTTAGGAAACATCGCAGATTATCACATTTCTAGTAGTATGTCATTCTGAGCAGGTTAACCGTGTCATTTTAAATATATAAAATCATGTTTTAACCTTCTAGGCGCTCATCAACAATGGCCAAACTCTTCATGAACGCATCTTCCGCATGCTTCAAGCTGTCCCGTGAATGGTCCGAGTCGAAGAGGAAGAGGTACGTTCTTCCAATAGTGGCCAGTGCCCTCTGCTCCTCTGCTGCATCATGGACAGATCGAGCCAGATTCAGATGAAGCCTCTGGTGCTGAGAGAGAGAGAGAGTGTGACTGTGTGAATGTCTGCACTGACTATCCTTCAAGCTAGTATGTATTTGCAAACCTTCAGAGCAGCTTCAATGTTCCCTAGTTCTGCATAGCACTCTCCAATCTTCCTATTGGCTACAGCAGATCCAATCACATCATGCAAAATCTCAGACAGCGCCAATTCCTGCCGATGCTCCTCAATAGCAGCTCGATAGTCACCTAGAAGAAACATGTGCCAGACTGATTATCACATAATACAATCATTCAACGAACATCTGTCACAATAATGGTCATCATAATCATAATAGACAGCTCACAGAGCAAACCGTCAAGGGTTTGAACCCACAGCTTTGAATCCAGACTAAGCCACTTTTATTATAATTTTCATAATTCATAATTTTCTTCATTGTCTTTTTTACCTGTTTTAGCGTAAACTTCCCCCAGCTGATTGCACAGACTGGCTTCCTCTTTCAGGTTATTGCTGTTCTGGGCTTTACTTTTGGCCTTCTGTAGTACTGCAAACACATTTATTTTTAAATAAATAACTAAATATATACGTGTGTGTATATATATGCATCTTGTATTATATATCATATTAAACTAACATAATAAACCATAATTATTCAAATAAACAATATTATAGTAAATTTACATATATATATATATAAAAGAATATGTATAAATTGTATATAACGTTATACATATAGTTACACATTTCTAACTGACATGTATGTAAACAAACAAACAAAAGCAAACTAATAAATAACGTTACGTGTATGGTATGGTTTAACGTTACGTTACATTAAAATATATATATTTTATTAGAATTGGCTTACATTTTACAATGAATCACAGATCTTAAAACAATGGACAGAAAAAAATATTATTGATGATTTTATAGGTGACAACTTACGCTTGATTTCTTTTGTAACGTTAGACGTCATCCTGTCCATTTACCAGGACCTCACAGCGGATTACTACAAATTTACGGGCATCTAATGAATAACCAACACTTCCTGCGCGCGAACAGCTGTAATACTATAAACCACGTCCTCGTTGATTGCTTTAAATCGGGTTTAAAGCTGATCAATACTTATGATCGTCTATTTTCATTAATGTGTTGATTCTTTCAAAGCGGCGCGCCAAAGATCAGGATAAGGAAACATTAAGAGACGCTGATTGGCTACTGCAGGTGACGTCAGGAGTCTCTCCCACAATTCTCTTTGTGAAAATGTCCATACCGAGACGCCATCTTGATAAGGACATTGTCATTCATTTATTTTTTTCAGTTAAATATTTATAATTATTTATTAAAAAGCCCTTTATGGCGATGGATTACACGTATACGGTAAGAAATCTGTTCTTTACTTTCATTCTGATTACCAGTAGTCTCAACAATATATTTAGTGAGCATCATAAAATACTTAAAACCAAGTTTAGAGTAACAAAGTGTCGATTATCATGTATTTCATTTTCCTTCTTCTTAAAAGTGTTTTTATGACTATAAAATCATGTTTTTTAAGCTTATAGTTTTGGGGTTAAATTTTGGGGAAACATTATATTACATATTTAAATAACAAATCAAATTACACAGGGCTTGCAAAATTATACCAGTTCTAGCCCTACAAGTACAATACAGTGTTCAAAAGTGATGTCCAGAGGGGATATTTGCACAATATTGGCTTTTAATTAGTTATTACCTATATATCTTCTCGAAGCTGGTTCCAGCTGCGGATGGCATAAGCTAAAAGCAGATCTCCATGCTTAAAGTGAAACCTTGGTATATCTAGCTGATGTGATACTACTAATGATCTGAGTGATCTGTTTGGTTTATTTTCAGTGAGCATATCTGCAATATATTGAGGTCCTAACCCATTGAATGACTTATATACCAGTAATAATATTTTAAAATTAATCCTAAATGTAAATGGCAGCCAGTGTAAAGACCTGAGGACTGGTGTGATATGTTCATATTTTCTGGTACTGCTCAGAAACCTGGCAAAAAAAAAGTATTCCTGTCGCTTGATAAACTGAAGTTTGAGCCACTGTAGTCACTTGGACTATTTTAACAATGTTTTTACTAACTTTCTGGGCCAGCAAGTTTTAATTACAATAGAAGCCCATGGAGAAGTGAGACAGCTCTCAGATTTAATCAAACATATCTTAATTTGTGTTCCCTAATATGAACAAAAATCTTACGGGGTTGGAACAACATGAGGGTGAGTAATTACTGACAGAATTTTAATTTTTGGGTGAACCATCCCTTTAAGTTCTTCCCAAAGTTGAGCCTCATTAAAAGACCTGCATGACTTGTCACAATTAAGCTTTGTAATTTCCTAAAGGTTTTCAATGGCACTGAGCATGGACACTTTCATTGCGTGCAGCTTTGTTGGAGATCGCTATAAAGTTGTAAAATACACATTTGATCTCCAATATTTGGTTAGATTACAATTAGATTATAATATAGCTAATACCTCCCACATAGTGATTTATTGAATTATAGGCTGGGAATAATGAGAGTAAGATTGGTAAGACCATTTGGCCATAAATGACGTCCAGCCAATTCTGTGTTTCATTGCGTCATGACAAATGATACAATTTGAATGTAGAGTGTATACGTTAGTTTTACTCCAAGCACAACATGAATACAAACTATTTAAAGAAGCAGACAATTTTCCTAGGAAACCACTATGTAAACTGTTAAAAAAAAAATCATAACACTGACTTTGAACAAATTTGAAATTTATTGAAGACTTTTAAAAGCCAAGCCATCCCAAATGTTCACAACACTGTATCTGGATAATCACCGGTTGCATTGACATTTGCGAAATTATTGCACTTTTGTTAAAACTGAAAACCTGCTTTTTTTAATTTAAATATAAATCATGAACTTATTTATGCACCAGAAACAGAAAAGCCTGTGAGTGTACTTTCCAATAAAAAGTGTGTAAAACAAAACCACAGGTTCACATTTTGTACATATTACGCATAAGCAATAAATATCAGCTCTGCAAACAACTGTACAGTTTGTTTATTCTCATTATGATTTCAGAATTTCTTTTTTTTTGATTGAAGAAAAAAAGAAATCATCTAGTTAGAGTCTGTCAACTCTTGTAGGAAGTCCAGCATAATTTGAGCATAAGAAAGGCACTGCTGGTGAGGATTATAGTTCACATTTTTAATACCAGGTCACTTTCCAAAACTAGCTGAAACCTTTAGGCTATATTACTGTGTAAAAGCCTGATTTGTTTTACTCCAAACTGCCGCATGCTTGGCATTAATGAGGTCATAAAGCTAAAGAGTCCTTGCTCAAATCAGTTGGATTTGATTCTCAAGATGACGATCTTGCTTCATCACTTCCTGTAGGAGGGTTTAGCTGATCCAGCAGCTCCAGGAAAAGGGAAACCCGCTGGGTGAGCGGGACGGACTTTTCAGCCCGTAGAAGGCTAGAATAGACATTCTTGTAGATCTTCACCTGCTCCTCTTCTTTACCACTGCATATGAAAACACAAAACCATCACACACAGAATTAAACACGACAAATGCTATTTATTTCTGTATGATCTGTTGCAGTGATTTTATCAGTGACAAAAAAAAATAGAAAATTGTAAAAAAAAAAAAAAAAATTTAAAAAATCATTTACATGGAATAAATTAAATGATCAGAAATTAAATATCTAAAAATGTAAAACTTATTTTGTTTCAGTTAGTTCCAAAGGTACTAAAATGACTAAAACTGAAGAAAAAAAACATGAATACACAAAAAAAATACTCAAATTAAAATGTGTAATATTAAAACAAAAACTAATTCAAAATATTAACAGATACTACGATAGTAATGATAATAAAACAACACTGATCTGTAGCATAAATTGAGATGGAATCCTTCCTTAAGTATATTGCTGGAGTATGTATATTTTTGTATCCCTCACCTGAGTTTACGTTTGCTTGCAGTGCTGAGTTTAATCAGTTGCAGCAACAGGAAGGAGAAACTGGGCTCGAAGACGCCAATTAACTTCACAACCTCTTCTGTGTTCAGCTCAGAGGAAGAGCTCTCTGAACCCTCGTGGACTTCCTCAGGTTTGTCAGAGTCTTCTGCCGTCAATATCTGTCAACATACGTCACATAAGAGTGTAAAAGAGAACAATGATTATATAATCAAAATTATAATACAAATCAAAATCTTAAAATAATAATAATGTTAATAAAATACACCTTTATCCAAAGGGAATAACAAATAATAATAATAATAGAAAATATATTAATAATTAATAAATAATAATAATAATAATAATAAACAATCTTAATATAATGCACTTTCATCTAAGACAACTAGAAATGAAATATATTATTATTGTTATTTTAGTAATGATGATAAATATGAACAATCTTCAACTAATGATGTTACTATTAAACCCTTAAACATCTAATGAACTTACAAAGAAATTAGTATTATTAATAAATATATACATATATATATATATATAGCCCGTCAAGCGATAAATGTGTCGATTCATTAATCAAATTAATTACGAATTAATCACACATCAATTTTGGCTAAAAAATGACTCCCCAAAACTCATTATTGTGTTAGACAGTTAGACGATAAAAGCATTGATTAGACATTAGAAAAAGTAGCTTTAGAAAGAAATATTTTGATTCAACATAGATTTTATTACACATGAACTAATCCATTATAGTAATTAACCATCTTAATATCAGAAACTTTTATCCATGTATTTAAAAATGATTAATAATAACAATAACAACAATAATTTGTGTGTATGTTTGTGTATATACTTTTTCCTGTTGCTCCAGCAGCTCTTTATGAATGAGTTTGAATGCGTGACGCGTTTCACTCATGATCTCCAGAGCTCCCGTCAAAGTTTTCAGCTTCACGGCACTGCTGTTCTGACCTGGAACACACAAGAGAACATCCAGTCTGAGGTCCAGCCTCTTACGGCTGATATTTCCTGCAGTGTGCCTTTCTTACCCGCCATGGTGAACTCAGCGAAGGCCACTCTCTCCAGAAGCGTGCGGAGCAGCTCACACGGAGCGTCACTCAGACTCACAAAGAGCCGCACAGCCTTACTGTAATGCTGCTCTGCCAGAGCTTTGTGCTGTTTACGAACGCTTTCGTCTCCAACCTGAGGGACAGAGAGAGAAATGGGAGGGACGGTCCACGTGGGAACATGTGTGCTGAAGACCCGTGTTTGATGATGGTGTACCTGGTTGCGGTAGCAGCTGTGGTACATTGAAGCCAGTCTATGGTGGATGGTGGCAGCTCTGTACTGGTAGAGCGGCTGGCGAGCGGACTCTGTGTGCAGGTCGCAGTACCTCAGAGACTTCATCATGGTCTCTGTGACTTCCCTCTCGATCTGAAACGCATTAGGCTCATGTCAAGTGGATTTCATCATGTCAGCAGTGTGTGCAGACTAAATATAGTGTGTGTGTTCTACCTGTTCCTGTGCTTTACGGGATAGCGGAGCGTAATCCTGGAGGAGTGTGGCCAACGTGAAATAGGTAGTAGAGAGTTCCCAGTTTACAGAGTCCCAGACGGCTGAGTGACTCTCCCTGCAGCCCAGAGACTTCAGCGCCCTCTGATAATAATCTATCGCCTATTGAGGGAGACGGAGAGAAATTTTTTTTTAAAAATCTACCTTGTCTTATTATGATTTTATTACATATACATTAATTCATTTAGCAGACATTTTTATTATTTAAAGGCACTTAAAATTATTTGCATTATTATTCATGATAATAATAATAGTCACATTTACAACTTAATTATTATTATTATTAATACAAGACATTTTTATCCAAGTGATGTACAAATGTGAAACTATTATAATAATTATTATTATTAACAATCTTAATATAAGACACTTTTTATCCATCTACAAGATAAATTATTAATAATTTTCATTTGTAGGTGGATGAAAGTAGATAAATGTCTTATAATTATTGCATTAAGATTACAATTTTATTTATTACAATTACTGTATTAAGATTAATATTTATTATTAGTATTACTGTTGTAACATTTTATTAACAATCTTAAAGAGCAACGTGCAGATTGAATTTATAACTGAATTAATACTTGATATTGTCTGAAGAGGTCTTTTAAAAACACATATGTAGAAATTACTAATGAAATCATATTTGA